CTAGAGTATGATTAGAGCCAATTCGAAGTTATTTCCTCGACTTTATACTTGCAAAGCTGAGCGAAGAAGACCTCAACACACTTTTCGCGATCCCAATAAATTCAGGTTAAACTTTCCATGTGAGCGACAACTTTGCTTCTCGAAATTTTACAAACCCTAATGGAAGAATGGCGGCTGACTGCAATCCTGACATACCTTTCAATTCGTTTGAGAAGGCGGGTGGAAGGGATTCGTAAGTTGGCCACACCTGATACCAAAGGGGAGTTGCCTTGGACTTTTGTCTTTAGAAATGTGCATAGAAGACCTTGGCTCACCGTCCCACGACCCCAATGACTCTGTGCTGAGATTTCTTCCGTCACGTTACGGACAACGTCATTTCATGCCGACGAAAGCTGAGCATGGAGTCATCGGGGTCGTAGGATGGTTAGCTGAGGTCTACTTCGCACAATTCTACAGACAAAAGGCCAAGGCAACTCTCCTTCGGTATCCGGTGAGGCCAAATTGCGAATCTCCTCCACTCGCCTCTTCAAACGAAATGAAAGGTACTTTAACATCAGTCTATTAAGAAATTCTTCGAAATCCAATTTTTCTACGAATAACCGTTTTTTCGCCAATGTCACCTCTATTCTTGGTCTTAAAATATTGACGAGTGCATTCGTATTGTATTTAGTCTATGCTCGTAAATTATATTAAGTATAAAAGTGATAACCAGATTATAGGATAATAAATTCTTTTCTCCTTGCTCAGTGATGTTTTCTGCAACCTTTCTCTCTTCTTAGGCCTATGCAACAACCACAAGAAGTTTTTTCTCAAGTTCCCACACTTGTTCCTTCTTATCTTGTGTAAGATATGCGCTTAGTCACTTCCGATATTTGATTCACAATCCTTTAAACTAATTTAACCTCTTATGTTTGGGTCGGAAAGTATCTCCTAGGTAAACGTTGCCACATAACTACAAAACCTCATAACCCCTCGACCTGAAGAGACGGTCTGGAAATTTATGAAATTAAGGCACAACTGTGAGAAGCGTCATCTCCTTTATGTACAATGTTCTATTGCTTAATTTTCTCCCGTAATTCACTTATCGTTTTGCGATTCCTTGCAGGACGATGACACATCGAACCCAGTAGGATAGTCCAGCCCAAATAGCTCTTTCCCTTCGTTATATTCCCTGGCGCTCTCAAATAATTGTTAATCATTTCTAAAGAATAATTTTTGTCACTGATTTCATTACTCCTATTTTGACCACATTAGTATGAGTAAATAGAAAATGCAGAAGGAAACCCACACTTGTGTGTTGTTTATACACCCCTCTTTCCGATTTAATTCTATCTTTACTAACTAAAACACTCATAAAGAGTAACCCACGATCATTTCAATTCAATTTTCCCGTTTACTCTATTTATCTATACGAAGAAAACGCGGATTTCTAAGAATCTCCTGAGATAAGATTGTTGTGCAGACTTTCATTTCGTGTGAAAGTACATGATGAGGAGACTCGTAGGTGGCTTCTGGACAGCAGGAATCAACCGTCATCTTCTGGTGAGATCAACCAATGAATCGATGCATTATGCACTTTCATACGAAAAAATGTCTCCACAACAATATATTTTTTTATACTCAATGAAGTCATCTAGACTCCTTTTACCATTTTGCCAAATAGTGAAGTAGTTTTTCATCTACTTAACCAATAATTTAGGAAGTGCCATGGCTTCTGATATATGAGACCCTTAAATTAAGTCATGTTATTTGCTAAAATTGGCAATATAAACGCAGGGAAAAAAATCACCAATTTATTTATCCACTTTACAATTCAAGTAAGTTACATACAGCTAACGACTAAATTCGTTAATATCCTGATTGACTCCTTATCTAAATAACTATTTGTTAAAATGTTGGGTTGTTGATTAAATGTTTATTTTTCATTTATAAGTTGGTTTTAAAAACTGCCAACAGATCAAATGTATAAGGTGTATTCATCCTATTTCGTTAAAGTGATGAAGGAATGGTAGGTTTTATTTTCCCACACTCATATCAATAGGCCTTACGTTTCCATTGGATTTCATGTAGCAATTTTGACATCACCTAGGTCTCATCCGCACCCCATCACATCTACGAGAGTGCCCATGGGTCATAGGGCAGAGGTGAATTTCAAGAAAGTCTATGCTTTTCCCATATCGCATTACGGTGGCTGGAGTGTGAACGAAATACATTTGTATTTGGTATAGTACTCGATTACATTACTTATTTTCTACTTGTAAAATTGTTTTAGAGATTACCAGTAGATCTCACATATAAACTGTATTCACTCTAGTTCGTTTAAGATGTTGAAGGATTGGCGGTTGAATTTTCTCACAATCATTTAAGTAGGCCTCATATTTCCGTTGACGTTCACATAGCCTGTTTGTGCCATTCCGCTTAGTGTAATATTTATGAAAATTGGCACTACATCAAAACTTACAAGCAAATCCTTTTGCTTTGTTATTGGTTCATCCGTTAAGTTAATAAAGTAACAATAATTCTTTATTTAAAATTTCCAAAAACCTGAGATTTGCCTTAATTGACTGCAAATAAATCGTGATGTTTTATGTATCAAACAGCCCTTATTGTTCACAATGATCCTAAGTGGGACACACATTTTGTAAATCGCTTCAATGATGCTTTAGAGACCAATTTAAGTCGTTCGAAACTGCTGGAGGAAGCCGGAAATTCACTTGCATCCAAAGGTTTACTTCGCTTTGGGAAAAGTGACCTATCAGTTATACATAATATCATGCTATTAGGCTGACTAAAGTGTTTTTCGGTACATTCGACTTATTGGATTTAAGTCTTGGTCTCGAAATGTCCTGGAATTCTGACATCTACTCAATTAATTGTGGGTAAATTCACTTATCAGTCTCACATCATTTTAAGTTCTGAAGAGAACCAGCGTCTGATGACAGTGCATCTGGCACTTTGTTGCTTAGGCGCCTTCCCGAGGGCAACTGCAAAAGGCGGAGCGAATGTTTAATCGTTGGTTTTCTGAGAAAATGCTCTTGAAAATCGCCGAATACAAAAATTATGCCTAGGTTAAATCGAGTTTTAAATATAATCTTTCATTTGTATGAATGTTTTTTTTGGTGGGTCGGGTGGAACTGGCCATGCTGACAACATCCCGCTCTTGCATCTTCGGTCATGGCATGGTCCAGGTGACGTTGAGCTGCCGTGACAAAAGGATGCACTGGCACTGGGATGAATAGGAGAGGGCATCCCTTCGGCCGTCGTAGAAGAATTTCTCTTGCGCTCCGTTCACCCAGAATCCAGACGGCCTAGAGCCGAGTCCGAGGATGAGGACAAAGTTGAGAAAGAGGTCGTCCGTCTTGGCCGGCGCCTGGGCAAGTCTGGTGCGAACCTCAGTCGGTCGGGCAGTCAGCGTCTGCCCGGTCAGGCGAAACTCGAGGTACGTGTAGGCCTGATCCTCAGTCTCGCCGTCGTCCCAGAACAACTCGCCCTGGGCCGATTGGCTGCGCCGGTCGACGACGGCTGTGATGCCCAGTCCGGTCTGACGGGCCTGTAGGCTGGAGTAGGCCTTGGTGTGCATCGGCAGAATGCAACCGGCGCGCACATGTACCGGAATGGTAGAGAGAGGGGCGGGGAACATCTTCCATTCGCCGGTGTTGCCGGCGCGGTAGCCGCCTTCACGATGTCCAGTCGCCAGGTTGACCCATTCACCCTTGGGCAGGTAGCCGGTCACGCGGTCGGTATTGGGCTCGAGGACGGGTGTGATGAGGAGACAGGGGCCGAGGAGGAATTGGCGCACGATGCCGTGTGTGATCACGTCGTCGGGAAACTGGAAGGAGAGCGGCCGAGCCACTGTCGTCCCGTTCAGGTGGGCCCGGTAGAACAGGGAGTAGAGGTAGGGCAGCAGGTGGTAGCGCATCTGCAGGGCGGTCGAGATGTACTCGGTGGCCGTGAAGCTCCAGGCTGCCGGGTCTTGGGGCGGTTGGCCGAGCTCGTTGTGGTTGCGGGAGAAGGGATAAAAGGCGCCCAACTGGCTCCAACGGATGCACAACTCCTCGCTAGCTTGACCCCGGAAACCGCAGATGTCTGCGCCAGTCATCGGGATGCCGAACATGTTGAAGTTGATGATCTGGCCGATGGAGGCGAGCATCTCCGGCCAGTCGGACAGGTTGTCGCCGGTCCAATGGTTGGTGTGGCGACCGGAGCCGGCGAATGATGAACGCGTGAGCAGGAATTGACGCTTTCCCGGCTTGAGACGTTGGAGGTGTTGCTGCGTCACTTTCGCCTCCGAGTAGCCGTACAGGTTGTGCAGATCGTAGTGGGCAACCCGCCCGAAGTGCTGGGCCGATGGGCAGATCGTCTTCGACTCGAGGCGCCCACCGACCACAGGCGGTGTGTAGGGCGGGTTGTCGAGACGACTCTCCTTTGAGCAGCCCGTCGTCGAGCCATCGACGAAGCTTGCCGGCTCGTTCATGTCGATCCAAATCCCGTCGAAGGGGACGGTCTCGTGGAAGGCAGTCAGAGCGTTGCCCCACCACTCGCCAATGTTTGGATGCGTGAAGTCAGGAAAGACCGTCAGGCCCGGCCACACTTCACCCACCAGCGGCTCGCCCGTACGGTTGTCCTTCACGAAGATGTCCGCCTCCAGGCCCGTCTTGTAGGGCCAGTAGTCATCGCCCCCTTCAGAGCAGATGGCCGGGTCCAGCATCATGACGCTTCTTACGTCGTACAGCTGCCTCATCTGCTTCACAAAGTCACCCAGTCCCTTGAACTTTCGACTCACCGTGAAATCTTTGCTTGAGTTCATGTAGTCAATGTCCACCCATTGCGCGTCTAACGGAACCAGGCTTTGCAGATTCCGCATCAGAGTGTCACGCACATCCGCCAAGTTCTCGTAGCCATAGCGACAGAGATGAAATCCAAGGCTCCAGTAGGGTGGCAGCTGTGGCCGACCTATCAACTCCTGGTACTGGGTGATCACGGAGGCTGGAGACGGCCCGGTGAAGACGAAGAAGTCGAGGATTCCCCCGATTGTGCGGTAGCTAAGAGAGGGATGCGCTTGAACCGCCACCTCCTGCGCGTTGCTGTTCAACATGAAGATTCCGAAAGCCCGACCTTGACGACTCAGTCCAAGCATAAAATTGTGCACGCCGTATAGGTTAGAGTTTTCCATTGGCGGCATATCTCGAGCCCACAGAGCGAATCTCGGATAGCCCTTCATGTCGACTGGGATGCTGTTTCGATGCTCGCCAGGCCCGTAGGCCAGTTCCATCGAGGGAACATACATCGACATCTGCAGGAATTGGTCGGCCAGAATGAAACTACTCGCCATATTTCCGGTCGTGTCGATCAACACCTCTTCATCCGGGCTGTTGCGTAACACCTGTTCGCATCAAGAGAAGAAGAGCAATGAAGAGGAAGCAGTGACAACCAAGAAGCTAGGCTCCACTTGAATGCATGGAAGGCCCCATTGTTGGGGAGGGGACAGGAGCTAAGTCTGGGAATGCCAATTGACAGGTGGGAAGGACTAAAAGGAGGGCCAGAATGTAAGTCAGGAGCCCGTTGGTGGAGACGATTACATTTCACTAAACCCACTTGTAGCGACACATTCTTAGGCGACATTGGAGGAAACGAGAGCACGGAATTGTGTGAATAAGTGGATTGGCTATTTGAAGTGGGGTGAGAGAAAGAGATGCGACACTAGAAAGTAGAGCAAAAACTAGGGGCGAAGAGTGATACCACAATGGTTAAATAGAAAATAGGTCAAGAGAATTGCTTTCATTTGTCAATTTGATAAGTTTTAACTCTGTTTAATCGGAGATTACAACACCAAAATGGTGTTGCGTTCGGGATGGTCGCAGACTGGATGTAAAATAGGTTGTCCTTATTGTCAAGTTAAGTAGTCTTGTTAACGACTACCTAACGATCCGTTATGATTCCAGGATATCCTCCTCTCGGTCCAGCATTTCCAGCAGGGCCGTTAGCGCATTTTCTCCAGAGTTATTTGTATACATAAATTCCACATCGAAACTTACCAATAAGTTCGTTTCTTCATATGCCATAATTTTAATTTTTTGAGAAAATTTATATTGATGCTTCACTGT